CCATTAGCTGTTGGGGATGATGGTGCAGGAGGCCAATTTGGGGGACTTCACCTGCTTGTAGGGCCTCTCAAACACGCTGGATCGTTGGCCGGCCACTCTCCTTCCCTGGCTGCATGCTCTGGGCCACATCACTGCTCTGTGGAATGAGATCTGAGGTGTAAAATGCAGCAGAGCCCACAAACGCTCTGCCCAGGAATACTCAGAAGAGTCAGAACAGTAATTAAAAAGCAGGCAACACACCTTTGAGAGCCTTTCTCTTAACCTTGAGCAACTGCAACCAACCCCACAGCCCCAGGGCTCTGGTTGTTGGTTCACTGGGCAGATGGGCCCCTGGCATCCCTTGTTAGAAATTGACCACTGATCATACTGCTCTCTCCATGGTGTGGACTGGTGAGCAGGCTAAGGCCCTGTCCAGGGCAGAGTTGCTAGTACAGGCTGACATCCTTCCCCTGGAGGGCAGCCATTTACCCAAAGATGGCATCCTTTGCTGTTCAGCGTGACTGTGGCCATGCAGGTTAACTTGCTTGACTTCGTGGTGTCGGTTCCAGAAAAATTCATGTGTGAGTAGAGGCCAAACAGTGATTCTTGAGCTGCTCCAGAGTCTCTGCCCAGGGCTGTAGGTTTACCTTAGCTTCGCAAAATTGCACATAATAAATGCAGAATGGGATGTTGGCCACTGAATTCCACTATCCAATAATTTCAAGCCACCTCCCACTATTGGAAGCTATTTTGACATTAATTAATTAATTAATTAATTAATTAATTATAATAATTACTACTATTATTTAGTCAGTGAGGCAGAGCATTGTACAGAGCAGTGATGTCATGGCATGCTTTTCCCAACCTCAATGCTTCCAGATGTTGTTCTAATACAGGTCCCATCAGCCGCAGCCAGCATCTGGAGGCCACCAGGCTGGGAGAGGCTGAATTAGATGGTCCAAGGAAGACACTGAGGGGAGGAAAGACGGCACTGGGAGGTCTGAACATCTGGTGATGTCTACATCCACACTTAACCAGGAGTCTGATCTTAGAGGGGCATTTTTAGTGAATGCTAAGACATGCACTTTACATGGGAGCTGCCTTTGAAGAAAGTGGAAACATATTTGGGGGCAAAGTGTGGCTGCCAGAGGTGCTGGCTATAGCAAGTTGATCGAATCACGTTATGATTCCAGTCTTAGTCCTGACCAGCTACATTAAATTGAGCCTGGGAAACAAATTAATAACCAATGTGTTCTTGTTGTTTTGAAAATGCTTTCCCATTTAAAACAAAAAACACACTGAAACACCCCAGGCTGCTTACATCCTATAGGCTTGGCCTTTATTGTATCTTTCCCTCCATGCAAAGTCCACTTCAGGGGCCCCTTTCTAAGTCGCTGTCAGATGTGACTTGGGTCTTTCACAGTGGTGGTGTTCATAGTTTGAACAGCTTTCATAGGGTTAGGGTTAGGTGACTCTGTTGTGGCTTTTTGCATTTTGAGAGCAAGCAAATATTATCTGATTTCAGCCTCTGCTGGGCACTGCTTCTGCTTTGTTTAATTTTACAATTTTACTGAATATTCATTTATTGCATGTTTCAAAGGTGACCCTGACTCCGTATTTAAAAGAAGTATAAATGCTATGACTAAATTCACAAAGTCTGCAGCAGTCACCTCAGTGTATCTCTGAGAGGAATCTTTGCAGACGCACACAGTTTTGGTAGGACAGCTCTCCAGAGCTGTGCCTCTCAGTCTTCTCTCTGCTGAGTCCAGCTCCTTGCTGTTGTCTCGTGTGTGGGATGACTGTTCCCTTTATTCCTTCCTCCGGCTCCTAGGCCCCAGTCTAATTAGTCTGCATCTGCCATCTGCTGACTTGGAGACCTGAACCACTGGCAATCTGTATCCAGCCATCATTCACCGGGATTGTCCTTTGTTGTGAGCTCTGCCTCAGGGTCTGCTGTCCCCCAGGACAAACCTTCAGAGCCCTTCCTGTTGGAAATGAGGCTTCTCCTGGGCTCATGACTTCCTCCAGAGCCTTTGTTGTCTTCCCTCTTCTTCCACGTTGGCTGGCCTTCATCCTTATCTCCACACTCGCCCAGCCTGAGCGTCACCTCTTCCTCCCTCACGCACCTTGCCTCTGAAACATCTCTCCTTCCCCTTTGTCCAGATGGACAGTAATGCTTCCAATGCATGCATCAGAGGCTTAGGCCGCATATGCACCAATTAGGTAAAGCACTATGATACTACTTTAAACCATCATGGCTCCCCCCCCCAAGAATTCTGGGAAGTGTAGTTTGTTAAGCGGATGAGAGTTCTTAGAATATCCTTATTCCTCTTCCAGAGCAACAATTCCTAGAGTTTCCTGGGAAGAAGACGTATTGATTATTAAACCATTCTGAGTACTGTAGCTCTGTGGAAAGGAATAGGGGTCTCCTAATGATTATGGGAGCTGTCATTTGTTAAGGGTGCTGAAAATTGTTGGGAAACCTTTGTTTCCCTCCCAAAGTTACAATTCCCAAAGTTTCCTAGGAAAACTGTTAAACCACTCTGAACATTATTTTCAGGAGAGGTTAAATTCCAGAGTCCACTAGAGCAGTGTTTCCCAACCTTTTTTGGGCAAAGGCACACTTGTTTAATGAAAAAAATCTCGAGGCACACCACCATTACAGCCCCGTGACGTCAGCGCGCAGCGTCGCGCCGGGAGGGACGCACGAAAGTGTAAGTTTCAATTTTTTCCCCTCCCCTCCTGTGTAAAGGGGAATGCACTCTGCTAAGTAAAGGCACTTGCCACAGCAGCGTCAACGTCACAGCACCCACCGGCACCCAAGAGAGAAGGGGTCTCAGCAGCCCTTTTGCCAGGAAGAGGAGCAAGAACGAGAGGAGGAGGAGGAAGAGGAAGAGAGTCCCCCCAAAAAAACATTCTCCTTTTGATCTTCCTTATTTGCAATTCCTCATTGCAAAACAGCGGTTGATATAGAGCTGATTTTTTTGTTATTACAATCCCCACCCCCTCACCTAGAAAAACACCCCCTGTCAATTTTATTATTATCATTATTATTATTATTATTCCCCGCCACTCTGGGAGGCTGAAGCCCTTTAAGGCTTCCTTCTGTCCACTCTCTGTGAATTACCTGCCCGGAGCGGGTTTCTGGGGGGGGGGGCGCTGCTGCCGGTGTCCTCCCCGTCGAGTCTCGCCTTGCCCGGCGCGTGGCGGCCGCCCTCTCCCACACTCTGCCGGCTGCGCTGCCAAGCCCCGCGGCTCGGCCTGTCAGCGTTACCAGGCTCGGCGGGCGGTAATTCCCGAAGAAAGCCGGCGGCGCTTGAAGAGCTGGCAAGCCCCCATTTGCATGTCTGTTTTCTGCAGCCCTTGGAGAGGATTAAGTTCCCTCCTTCCTGCCGGGGAACCTCCAAGCTTTGGGGGTGGGGGGGGAGGAGGCAGCAAAGCGAGGCAGGAAGGAGAGCGCGGCTTGGCTGGGTGAGCTTTGGCAGGGGCAGGGAATGAGAGCCGCGAGGCGGGCGCTGCGGGCGGAAGCGCTGCCCGCCGAGCTCGCAGGCAGCCAGGCAGGCAGACGGCAAGAGCCCCGCGCTGGGCGGCCTCTCCTCGCCGTCGCCGCCCCGCCTCTCGCCGCCCGACTCGCCCGCCTCCCTCCCACGGAGGTAGGCTGGTGTGCCATGGGAGGGAGGCGGGCGAGTCGGGCGGCGAGCACACGCGGGGCGGCGAGCGAGCTCCCTCCCACATCCCATCGCCGCTCGCTTCGGCCGGCCTACTGGGCTGTCGCAGGCGGAAGGCCTGCGCATGCGCAAGGTTTTCGCGCCTTCCTCCAGTAGGCCGGCCGAAGCGAGCGGCGATGGGATGTGGGAGGGAGCTCGCTCGCCGCCCCGCGTGTGCTCGCCGCCGCCGCCCCGCCTCTCGCCGCCCGACTCGCCCGCCTCCCTCCCACGGAACACAAGGCAACGTTCCGCGGCACACTAGTGTGCCGCGGAACACCGGTTGGGAAACACTGCACTAGAGGATGGTGCAGTGCACTGTTTTATTTTGTTTTTTTGGGCAAGGTGTATGGAAAATTTGGTGGTATTCATTCTCTGTGCATTGTTACTTCATATATTTGACAGCTTTTGGAAATATTTGACTGATCAGTGAACTAGTTTTAATCTAACAAATGCCAGCACTGATTTTGGGTGCCTTCAGGCTGTCACAATGCCTTCAACAATAAACCAGCTCTGTTCTTTATAGGAACAATCTGCAGCAGAGAGGTGGTCGTTCATAATGTATCGTCTGTATCTTCTGCAGTCTGTGACTAGTTCCTCATTATGGAGTTAACTAGTACTAGATGCAATTGCAACAATATTCACGTTATTGGGTATCAATGGATTGCATGGGACCTCCAAAGGCACCGTTTTATTGCACATTCATGATGATTTGTGCTCATGATGCTATCAGGGCAGTCACACGTGACCCTATTTTCAATACTCTTTGTTCCAGCAAATGTTTTGGGGCAAAGATCCTGCTTTATTTTCAATCGGAGCATATGCTGTATTTTCCTGCTGAAATCCCATAATCGTTTGGACCAGAGAGGTTCTCAGTTTGGGGGTGGGGGTTGTCCTGCTTTTGTTCTGCTGTAGCCCCTCAGGGTGGCAATAATGCAGTGGCACTGGGAAAGTATTGCAGAACGTCTACAGAGGAGAATAAATGCACCACATGCCCTATTATTGCGTTGATAATATGTTGCCAAACCCAACCACAATAAAACTCTAACGATCCTTTGGAGGTAAAATGGAGGGGAGGCTGATGCATATGCCCTCCCTCCATATTTTATCCTCACCACAACCCTGTGAGGTAGGTTAGCTTAGGGCTGAGAGACTGTCATTGGCCCAAGGTCACCCAGTGAGCTTCCTGACCAAGTTGACAACACAGGGAGGGTTGGGCTGAGTCACTTGTGTTCATGTAGGTGGGTGTTTTATCCTTTGGATGAGCAGGCCCCCTTCCCCTGGTGTTTACTTTCCTTCCTTCCTTCTCCCTCCCAGATTTACCGGCGTTGTTGGCTCGTCTTCCGCAAATCTTCCAGCAAAGGCCCTCAGCGGCTGGAGAAATATCCGGACGAGAAGTCAGTGTGTTTGAGAGGATGTCCAAAGGTTAGCCCCAGTTCCTGATGTGATGGTGCTGTTGCTGCTCCGTGGGGGGAAAGGGGCTGCATAAAGCCTTGTGGGCAGAGGGATAGCTAATACCACAGAAGCTAGATTCAGGATGGCCTTAATGGATTGAAGAATTGGCCCAAACTAACACTATGAATTTCAATAGGGCAAATGTGAGGTTCTGTGCTTAGGCAGAAATAATCAGATGCACAAATACAAGATGTGGGACACCTGCTTGCCAGTAGTATATGTGAAAAGGAGCTAGGGGTCTTAGTAGAGCACAAGCTTAACATCAGTCAACAGTATGATGCAGCAGCAAAAAAAAAGCTATTCTAGACTGCATCAAGTCTAGTAAGAGTACTGCTCTAGTCTGCCTTGGTTAGACCCCACCTGAAGTTCTGTGTCCAGTTTTGGGCACCACAATTTAAGAAGGATATTGGCAAACTAGAACATGTGCAGAAGAAGGTGACCAGGAGGCTCAAAGGTCTGGAAATCAAGCCTTAGGAGGAGCCGTTGAGGGAGCTGGGGATGTTTAGCCTGCAGAAGTACAGCCTGAGAGATGATAGGATGCCCATCACCAAACATCTAAAAGTCTGTCACATGGATGATGGAGCAAGCTTGCTTTCTGCTGCTCCAGAGAATAGAACCCAAACCAATGGATTCAAATGACAAGAAAATGAGATTCTGACTATGGTTTAGGAAGAACTTTTTGACGGTAAGAGCTGTTTGACAGTGGGATTGACTGCTTTGGAAGGTGGTGGACTCTCTTTCATTGGAAGTTTGTAAGCAGGGTTTAGGTGGCCTGACAGGGATTCTTGAGCTGTGCTTTCTGCATTGCAGGGAGTTGGACTGGATGACCTTTGGGCTCCCTTCCAACTCTACAATTCTGATTCTCGGTCAGCATCTCGTACTTTCCTCCTTCCCTTTAGGGAGGCTGGGGGGTGGGCAACCTCCTACGCAGAGCCAGCTTGCAGTTTGCCTGCTCTAGTGATGAAGATTGGCCACCATTTCCTAGTTCGGCGACATTCTCATTATCCTTAAATGCTTCCCCAGGGCACTCTTGTGGTCTGTGTGACATTGCGTGCTGGAAAAAAAAACGTCCCTGCCCAAGGGAGTCATTGTGGCAAAAATAAACCTGTTTATGTTCTAGAAGCAGAACACAGCCCTCCTGCTTGAGTTCTCTCGCTGGCCATCCTTTCCACTCTTTCACCCAACCTCCTGGGCCTTCCTCTCCTCACCACCTTAGGCACCCAGTGCAAGACCCAGTTCCACCACTCATACGCCCTGCTGCCCATCTCAAGGCTCTAAGGCTCCTGGAAAATGGAGGTGAACAGCCAGGGCACCTGTACAGCTCTCTGGACCAATGAATGCCCCTCCCCTCAACAATGACATCCTTCTCTCTTTACGCAGGGTACCCAAGGAGGTCAAGGCTGCTTGAGACACTTCTGAGTTGCCATATCCCACCTCTTTAAGGGGGATTGCTGTCTCAGAGTCCTCTGTCCAGAGAGTCACTTTCCCAACCACTGGCATAAATGAGTAACTTCTGGAATTGCTGGTGAACGAAGCCACCCTCCCCATTGGCTTCTCCCTACAAAACAGCTTTTGCTCTCCCATCTAAGCTGCTGCACAACTCCCTGTACAGGAGTTGGGAAGTATTCTTTTGAACATCAGGGGTGGGCAACATTTTTCAGGCCGAAGGCAAGCTTTTGGGGTCCCCAAGTCAGTGGTGGGGCCAGAGATTAAAAAAAAGAGGATGGAGCAAAACTTGCAGTTTGGAAAGCGCTGGGGAAATGCATTGAAAAGTGCACCACGCATTCCAGCATTGCGTTAAGTCAGAGGTCTATATGTGCTTGCACACACACACACACACACACACACACACACACACACACCCTCCAGCTAGCTAAGCAAGAGGCATTATCACAGTTCAAGAACAAATTCCCAGCCAAGCGAAATCACTCTAGGAGAGTGTGAAGCAGGAGCAGGGGGCTAGGGAGACTCCTGAAGGCTTTATAAAGAGTCCTGGATGGCCGCATTGAGACCTGGGCCCAAGTTTCCCCCCTCCTGCTCCACATGGAGCTGCCCCGGTGTTCTTGGGTAGAGAGCCAGGGATCCCTTTCCTCTTCTCTGCAGACGAAGGTGGGCTGTAGGGAGGTGCTCCCCTTAAGGCATGTGGCTCTCCTGCAGGTCACCGAGATAAGCAACGTGAAATGCATCACGAGGCTACCAAAGGAGACTAAGCGGCAGGCCGTGGCCATCATCTTCACCGACGACTCGGCTCGGACGTTCACCTGTGAATCTGGTAGGAGCCCCGCTGTGGGGTTTATGGGGGTGTTTGTGAGCCGCAGCGTGCGGGCACATTCTACGAGGCTGCAATCCACTGGCAAGAGTATGCGTGTTGTGTTGAACTAAATGGCAATGGGGCTGAATGCTGGAGACTAACTGGGGGTGCTTCCCATCTTGCAGAGCTGGAGGCTGAGGAGTGGTACAAAACTCTGTCCATCGAGTGCCTGGGGGCACGGCTCAACGACATCAGCCTGGGAGAGCCAGATCTGCTGGCCCCTGGAGTGCAGTGTGAGCAGACAGGTAAGGGGGCAGGCTGTCCTGAATCTGCTGTGGTGGTGGGGTGGCCGGGGAATGAGGGTGGTGGAAGGACTGACTGGAGAAACAAATGGCCTCTTATTATTTATTGATCTTATTAGCCGTTCTTTTTCCCCCTCCCAAAAGTAACTTGAAGCAATAAAGACATAACCCATACTTTGAAACCAGCCCAAAATGAAACACAGGAAGATCTAAAACTCATCCACATTTTTTTAAAGGCAGGACTGAAAAATCTCACCTGCCATAGGAGGCCCCAGATAGCCAAAAGCCTGGGGGAAAGTCGGGGGGGGAAGAAATGTATTTACCTGATGCCTAAAGATATGCAATGGTGCCACCAGGTGAGCCCCTCTAGGGAGAGCATTCCACAAGCAGGGAGCCAGGCATGGCAGTGCAGAGAGCAGCTTCTTGAGATGGGCATTGCAGGCACTGCTGCCCAGGGCAAGAGCAGCGATACCTGGAGGAAGCCCTGGACACTGAGCCAGGGCATGGGGATGCAGCAAACAGCAGCCCTGTCGAAGTGTGGGACCTCTGTGCGGTGTTGGGGTTTAAGCTGCAGGTTGTGGCCAGGGAGTACATGGCAAGGCTACATTTAGGCTTAGGAGGCAGCTAATTGGAGCCACAAACATCGAGCCCAAGAGGTGGCAGACTGGTGAGTTTTGCTGTTGCTCAAGCAAAATCTTGGGAAGGAGACAGATTGGAGGGTGGCAAAGGGGTGGTGTGAAGCAGAGAAGGTGCCAGCAAGCCTGGCTCAGCAGCGCCCCTTTCTCACCCGCAGATCGCTTCAACGTCTTCCTCCTGCCCTGCCCCAACCTGGACATCTACGGCGAGTGCAAGTTGCAGATCACACACGAGAACATTTACCTCTGGGACATGCACAACCCCCGCGTCAAGCTCGTCTCCTGGCCCCTGTGCTCGCTGCGACGCTACGGGCGAGATGCCACGCGGTTCACCTTTGAGGCTGGCCGGTATGCATGCAGGGACGTGTGACCCAGAGGGCTTGCAGCGCCGTGCTGGTTGTGGGAGTGTGTGTGTTCTGAAACTTGGGAATAATTTAAAGTATCAGTCCAGCTCTGCACAGTGGCCATCACCACTGAGAATTGGCGCTGTGAAGCACATCACATTAGATGACTTAGGGCCATCCACAGTATTTCAGCTTAACCTACCTGTAAGGAAAGATCTCAAGATTTTTGTGAAAGAGGCGGGATTTCTTATTTATTTGTTTCTTTTCAAGGTTTGTACCCCATGCTTTAGCAAAAAGAGGCTCCCAGAATTGCTTGCAGATCAACAAAATGGAAGGCTTTTGCAATCTGAAAGGCAGGATACAAAAGGAAAGAGGCTGGGGAGGGAGAAGGGGAAAAGAAAATCCAGGCACCACTCCTTACAAAGTTCTTATAATGACCTGCTGAGACTGAAACCGGTCAGAAATGGATATAAGGTGGTAGCAGTCATAAAAATGAGGCAGACAGCAAATTGTTACCACATGTAGTTCTCTGGAGCTGCTAAGGGCATGCTTATTTCAGTTAGGGTTGTTGCTGGGCTTTGCAACTGGGTGGGAGTGATGAGGCAGATGAGAGATGCAGTCCGAAACATCTGGATTGGGGAAGGCTGCTTTGGGGCCTAAGAAAAACCCAAAGAGCAGTCCTCTTTCCCTTCAGATTGCCTCCACCCACTAGGCCACAGCCACTGGAAAGGGAAGGGAACTGGCCACAGGGAAGGCTGGAGGGCACTGAGGGGCTGGTTGGGCAGCATTGGGAGTGGGTCAGGCCTTCCCATGATTTCAGCTTTCCCCAAGGATCTTCTGAGAGGGAAATCCCCCAAAACACTAAATCTATTCCAAAGCCATTTTCCAAGCTGATGTTTTCCACATGGATATTTTACTGGTATATAATCAAGATCTCCATAAAGCCTCGGGAGAGGCTGGCAGGACTTACTGTACTAAAAGGAAAGCAGGGAAAAAGGAAAAAAGTCAAGTCTGTGTGGATTCCCCCACCCCAAAGTGCACAGTGGAGGCTGGTCCATTTGGATGAATGGGGCATTGCCTCAGCAACCTCCATCTCCCTTCAGCCAGCCCCCACCTGCCTGCCTCCTTACCTACACAGAGCTACAATTTCCAGAGTTCCTTGGGAAGAGGGGTTGACCATTAATCCATTCCGAGAACTGTAGCTCTGTGAGGGGAATAGAGGTCCCCTAAAGGATGGACAGATGGACAGCATGTGCACCAGCCCTGTGACCCTGTGTGTGCTGGGCATACCCACTGCAACCATCCACCCTGGACTTCCCACGATGAACAGGAAGATCTGAAGAGAAGTTCTCTGTGGTCTTGGATGAACACACTGAAGTCTGAACCACAACCAGGAAGCCCACCTTGAAAAGCCTTCTAAGCACATTCATCCAAACACACATAGCCCCTTCAGAACTTCCTGATGCTTCAGCTCAGAGGTGCAGTGGGCACATTCCATTCCCCAAGTTGTGCCTCCCACATGCTTTCTGAATGCATGTAGAGAGGGCTTGTTCTTCCACATCCCCTCTACTCCCTTAGCCATGCCAATTGACTGGATGGTGTGGCAGAAGATCCAGGTTTAAGCCCTGGCTTCTCTTAAGTGGGATGGGAAAGATCTGAAACACAAGAGAGCTGTTGCCAGTAAGTGCCAGCAATACTGATCTAGACAGGGCCAATGTGTAAACCAGATTCCTATGTCCCCAAAGCCCCATATGGACTTTGCTTCCCAGAAGTGCTCTGTGCAGCCAGACAGGAATCCATATGGATGGATTTTCACATGCAGTGATTGTGGGTGGGTGGGGCAGGGGGAACAGCCCTGCAGTCCCCACTACAGCCATTCAATGAAGCCCAGTAATTTGCTCATCTCACTCCATGGCAGGATTTTAAACCCCAAAAAGCCTTTTCCCAGAAACTCTCGGACTTTTCCCTACCTTGTGAACTTTGCAAATTGATTTAGACCATCCCAGTCTGCACCTCTTAGCGACTCCAGCTAATTACCATCTACAAAGGAAATAAATTTGATCTTTCCCTTTTATCCCAGACCTTCACTGACTCATTATGCCTGGCTTTTATAGAGAGATTAGAGGAACTCTTCCAACAAGCCCCGTCCCACCCTGCTCTGAGGCTGTGGAACAGCCTGTTCTGACAATAAAGCTGTTTGTTTCTTTGGCAGGGTAGTGGGGGAGAAGGGGAATAACCCACCCACTATACTATAAGGATGAAAAACTCCCAAGCCAGGCAGAGGTCCCATTCACCTCTTTCTTTCCCAGTGTGGGAGGATCTCAGATCTTTGCCATAGAGGGATAATTCACAACCCATTCAAAAGATTTATCCAGGTGCAATACTATTGCATCAGAGTGCCTCCAGACTCTTGGGACTTTGCAGCAGAGGCATAGCATGGGTGGGGGCTGCAGCCCCGGGCACAATTTTTTTTGGGGGGGGGCACAAACAGGCTCCCCCACAGCAGGCTCCTTCATTGGAGCCTGGCTCAGAGTGAGAAGGAACTGTGCCTTAGCTGTGGCACTTATTCCTAGCCACAGCTCAGTGGGGAGGAGAGCAGGAGACTAGACGGCAATGCTGCCGTCCATCCTCCTCGGCCGTGGTGCGCCTTGTGCCCAGGGCAGTACGGGCACATGCTCCACAACTGCTTTGCAGGAAGGAATCGAGCACATACCAGAACTTTAGGTTTGCATGTTTAAAATAGATTAAAGTGTTCCGTCACCCTAGCACAATAAATCCACTAAAAAAGCGGGGGGTGGGGCGAAGAAAATCAATGCAGCCTGCAGGATCAGGCCATTGGCCCATCTAGTCCAGCATCCTGTTCCCACGGTGGCCAACCAGATGCCTGTGAGAAATCCACAAGCAGGATTTGTGTACAAGAGCCCTCTTCCCTCCTAGGTTTCCAGCAGCTGGTATCAGACATGCAGCCATTAACAGTGGAGGAAGTCCACCATTGTGGCTAGTAGCCACTGATAGCCTTTTCCTCCGTGAATTTGTCCAATCCTCTTTTAAAGCCACCCAAATTGGTGGCCATTACTGCCTCCTGCAGGAGTGAGTTCCATAGTTTAACATTGTGCTGCATGAAGACGTAGTTCGTCTTATCTGCTGTGAATCTGGATGTCCACGAATTCTGGTGTTATGAGACAGGAAGGAAAACTTTTCTCTACCCGCTTTCTCCATGCCATGCATAATTTTATAAACGTCTGTCTGGTCAAAAACAGTCTTTGTGCTGTTTGGAAAGTGATGGGGAAGTGCATTGAATGGTGTGGGGAGAATGGATGACTACTGGAAAGGCGTGTAAAAACCCCACAAGCAAATCAGAATGAATATTCATTTTCATATAACCTCGCCGCAAACAAATCAGAAGGAAAGCTCAAAAAAGGTTCGATATAATCTAATCTCTAAATAAGCTTTGTGCAAGCAAATCGGGATGAGTGCTCAATAAAGAGGTTGTCTGAAGAGGCCTTCAGACTCCCTGGGCACCTTTGGGCAAATGCTAGGCTGCAGTTCTTTCACATACAGCTCAGTGGAACTGTTTGCCTCAGAGCAAGCCATACTCTGTGCCGATGTCAATGCTAATCATGCTTAGCCCAAGCCACACAGTTTGCAAATCTGCTTCTAATCATATTTGCAAACGGTTGTTTGATGCTGATTATGGTTAGGGAAGATGCTGGGGCAGATGTAGTGCTAACTATAGTTAGCTCCAAAACAGAAGAGGAGCAATGCTTTCACGAGAGGGGGCAGGGTCAAGGGAGCAACTGAGTGAGCCTTCAAGATGCTCCCAGTCTCCCAGCCTTGGTGGAAACAGCACCAGGCTCAAAAAGAGGATGGACTCTGCTATCACCAGTCTCTATAAACCCCCAATCAACTTCATAAAATAATTTCAGCTGTCCTTGGTTCTTCAAATAGCCTTTGGCCCATTTTGCATGAAACACTCAGCCAAGCCATGGTTTAGTATGGATGAGCAAAGGTGTGGACTTCTACAAAGGAGATTGCAGCCAGAATGTTGGTTCCTCCCTGGCCATTTTTGCTGCTGCTGCTGCTGCTGCTGCATTGCATCAAACCGTCGTTGGATTAGCCTGTCTGAGTTCAAGCTTGTGTTGTCTGAACACACACTTGTGGTTTAGCTCTCTCTGGCCAAACTTTGAGCTGTAACCAAAGTGTGTCGTGTGGTTTACAGCTCGTTTGTCAGGGAGAACTGGACCTGAGCCCAGATTCAAACAATATGCTAAGCAAAACCATGGTTTAGCTTAGTTTAGCTTGGCAGCAGAATGACCAAGGAGGAGCTGAGTAGGTGCAATTTCCTAGCTGAGAGCCTGCCCATTTGTGCAATCTATCGTCTGGCTTCTAAGTCCGAGTTCTAAGAAGTAACAACAAATGTATTGTTTTAGTTACAGTTTCAGAAAGCACTGAGCAGTGTTTGCTATGGGATTGTGTTTGGATTACAGTGGATATAGGGTGGCCTTGTGTCCTAGTTTAGAGGACAGTCCTCTATTTGGAGGCATCCTCTACTTGCATGACTACCTGGTCCAAGTCCAGTTTTATGATGAGAGAACCAGAGAGACCAGTAACCCCCTGGTCTGCAGACTAAGCAGATCACCAGGTCACTGTCTTCTACAGTAGGGTGAGATGAAATGTATTTCTGCTTAATTCTACCTTTGCATGTAAAAGTTAGCATGTGCCATTCCTGTGGCCTCTTTTCTGGGGCTGCATTAGTGGGCAACTTCATTGCAGCCTGTGTGTGTTACACGGGGTCACAACTCCATGCTCCACACACTTGTCATATGGGTAAGGAATGGATTGTAGCCCTGTCAGAGTTCATGAGCTGGTGGAAGCAGGCAGGCGTGGATCAGTTGCTTGGGCTCAGAAGGCACTTTGTAGGAAGGACCTTTTGGTTGCAGGCACCGAACTTCAGCAGAGCACAGGAGAGCTCTGGCAAGCTACCACAGTCTCACAAGCCCTTGAAGCGCATCCCTTGGCTCCTTCCATACTTGAAATCTTTCCATTCCGCCTGGTCATTACAAGAACTCTGTAACTAAGAAATAGCTCCTAAGTGTTTTTCCTCCTCCCTCCCAATCCCTCTTCCTTTTGTGCCATGTCTTTTTGATTGCGAGCCTGAAAACAGAGCGTCTCTTAGCACTGGCATTTGTAAGCAGCTCCACAATCCTTTTCCATCTGAAGAGTGGGATTAAAAAACTGTAAGCAAACACAAAAACAAAACAAAAAGCAAAATGTATTTGTGAAGCTCTTGTACTGGATTTTCAAGTGGGACAGAGAGAAAGGGATGTAAGCATACATGTTTGTGAAGTCCATGCAGGAGTGAAGTGTAAACGGTGCAAGGGTGAGTTTGGGAGACGGGAAAACTACAGTATGAACAGCACCAATGGGGTGGAAGCAGCCGGTATGAGGTTTTTGCACCCCTTCACTGGGGTTCCGCTTTTGACCTCTTGCTCTCTGTCGCCGCCCTTTTGCTTAGCAGGATGTGTGATGCCGGCGAAGGCCTGTATACCTTTCAGACCCAGGAGGGTGAGCAGATCTACCAGAGGGTCCACAGCGCCACCTTAGCCATTGCTGAACAGCACAAGCGCGTCCTTCTGGAGATGGAGAAGAATGTGAGGGTGAGCTCATGGCTGGAGGGGAGGTGGATGTGGGATGTAGGGGGCTTTCATTGCCTCTAGCCATCCCTTGGCACTGGGGATATGGAAGCGGGTGTCTCCAAAACAGCTGGTGCTTTGCAAGAACAGACCTGTACACATTCAGCATGCTGCAGCACAGAGGCAAGTGTGAAAGGGAGGTTGGTTGGTTGAATTATTTTATTTTGGAGCATTTATGCTTGCCCCTCGGCCACACAGGCTCCCAGAGCAGTTTCTGTGCAATCCCTACCCGTGTGCTTAACAAGCTAAAAGAATGAAGGGAAAGGAAGAGGAAGAGGAAAATCCAAATAAAAACTCAGGCACCAATTTCTAAACCGTTCCAGGAACTGGATGAAAGCTGATGGAACAAGCTGCTTTCTTCCCATCTCTCCCCACTGAGGCAGCTTGGTGGAATGGCTGCCCCCTGGTGACCGTTGAAGGGAGAGGAGGCCTGGTGGGGCTAGCGGCTAGCCTGTCACAGCAGAGCTGACAGAGTGAGCTCTGCATCCCAGCTCTCCGCTGCAGGAATGGTTGCCCCCAGGCGGCAGTTGAGGGGATGCCTGGAGATTCCTTGACTCTTGTGACACCTTTAAAACATCAGCCCAAAGACTTAAGTTCAGTTAGTCCACATTCACCCCATGCATTAAAGCAGTATCCTGCCTCTCTAAACAGCTGCCGTTTGTTGAGGGTGCTGAGAATGGTTAGGAGACCCTTATTCCCCTCTCAGAGCTACAATTCCCAGACAGTTCTTTTGAACAGGGATTGATTGTTAAGCTACTCTGAGAATTAATAGCTCTGGGAGGGGATCAAGGGTGCCTTAGCAACTTTCTTCCCTTTTTACAAACTACAGCTCTCAGAATTCTTGTGGGGGAAACCATGGCAGTTTAAAGCTGTCCCGTAGTGCCTTAAATGTACGGTGACTTTGCCAACTTGGTGCCCTCCGGATGTACTGGACTACAAATCCCATGAGTTGGTCCGAATTGCAGTCCAAAACAACTGGAGGGGCCAGCTTGGCAAGACTGTGCCCCCACCCCTGGGGTCTCATGAGGCTTTGACAGGGGCGGCACCTTTCCATTTTGCCTCAGGCAGCGAAACGGGATGGGCTTTCCCTGCATAAAACATATGAAAGATAATTGGGTTCTGGACCACCTTCCAGACCCCAGTAATTTGTTCCAGCTTCCACCCCCTGCCAGTGTTGGCCCTATTATTATCTCAACTCTTCCCAGACTGCAGCATTCCTTACCTGCCAGTCTATCTCTCCCCTGTGCACAACTCTGATTCCTAAAATCTACACTCCCCCTCCTCTTTTCCAGCTGTTGAACAAGGGCACAGAGCATTACTCCTACCCCTGCACACCAACCACCATGTTGCCACGCAGCGCCTACTGGCACCACATCACTGGCTCGCAGAACATTGCCGAATCCTCAAACTACAGTGGTGAGTTTCTACTCTATAGTGGGGGGGTGTGTGGATCTGGGCTTCCCCCAGAATTCAATTGTCCCATTGACTCCCCCCACCCCCACCCCAAAATCTGCAGGCACTTGTGTTTCTGGAGCTGTGTAGGCTTTGGGGTGGGGGTGCAGGGAGTCAGCCGTTTCTCCTTATCTCTCCCCCACCCATCCCCAAAAGAAAATCTCCCAAAATCCAGCTCCTGCATTGGCTCCAACAAGCACCTCGTTGCATTACGTCTCTGTTCTGTGACCCTAAAGATTCCCAGGTGCGCTAACAGAGCTGCAGCTGGTGTTCAGGGTTTGTGATTCAAATCTGGTACAGTTGCTGCTGGGTGTGTGTGTAGATTAAAATGGATTTGCAGGCCAGATCCAGCCTTTCGGCTGCCAACTGGCAACCCCTGGATTAAAGCTGCCCCTTTTTAAAAAGTTAAGATCTCGCTTTCTCGAGATCTTACAAAATCGCTGGTGGTTGGAGTTTCACTTTTTTGAAAAGGGCTCTGCATGTGTCATGTTGAATCAGAGCCTGCTTCCCTTGCTTTCAAGGAACTTAACTTCTTTCCTCCAGGGCTCTTCATCATGCAAAACAGCACAAAAATTTTGCTTCTGGTGATGATCTGGAGTAGATCCTGAAATCTGTAACGCTGAGCTTAGACCTTTCTGTAAATAGGTTTTCACTGAAAGGCAGCTTTGCTTTAATCATCCTGCACCTTTTAAAACTTTAAAGGTAATAACTGGTGCCATTTTTAAGCTGTGATTAACATTTTTAATGTTTTTTGGGTTATTTTATGTTAATCACTCTGGGCTCTGTTGTGGTGGAAGGGCAGGATATGAAGCTAAGAAAGCAGAGAGGCTGCAATTTTGGTTGACCTGTGGCTTTCCAGATGTTCCCAGGATACAACACACATCATCCCTAACTATTGGCCATGGTGGCTTTGGGGGCTGATGGGAGTCCTGCGACCCCCAAAAGACACAGGCTAGCTACCCCAGCCACACAGGTGTACCTGGGAATAAGTCCTGCCAGACTGTGAGTGGCTCACCTCAGTGGAGACGTGTAGGATTGCACACTAAGCCATGTTTCTTATTTAAGTCATTTATAGCCTGCTTAGTATCAATAGATATGAAAGCAGTTCGAAGTATAAGTATGCAGCAGACACAATTTCAACAATTTAAGAAAAAAAGATAATGGAAGAGCATAGATAAACGATACAGCATAGTATCCATTCATTGATTCATTTCATTTGTAGCTCACCACCTTCTCCGAGTTGCTCAAGGTTGGCATACATGGTTCTCTGCCTCCTCATTTAATCTCCCAGCAACAACCCTATGGGGTAGGTCAGGCTGAGGGAAGACAATGGCTGGCTCAAGGTCGCCCAGTGACGTTCATGGCCAAATGAGTTTTTTGTGGATTTAGGATGCCTCTACATATCAGAAAGCTGACAGGGCAACCCTCATTTAATGTCATGTTTTGATGCTGCTCTGCAGTCAATTACGTTAGATATTGTATTGGCATCTTAAAACACCATGGCCACAATCCAAAGAAAGTTAAGCACTTTTAAGCCCTATTGATTTGCACAGGGGGCCTTGAGCTCATCTCTAAATCTCTCTCTCTCTCTTGAAATCAATGGGACTGAAAAAAAGTGCTTCAACTTTGGCAAGATTGTGCCCAGTGGATTTGTGTCTTTATTTGGGATGTTTCTGTGCCGTCCTTCAGCCAAAACGGTGCTCTATCTTGTGGGTCGATTCATCTATGACATAGTGCTTCTCTAGCCCACAATTACCTGGACAGTTTTACAAGTGCACACCACAATTCTTTTAGAATATCAGAATACACCAACAAAAAGGAATCAAAGATGGCCTGTGTTTAAACCAGTCTTTGCGAACCTGGCGGCCTCCAGCTGCTTTGGACTGCAACTCCCATCAGCCCCAGCTAGCATAGCTAAAACAGCCAGAGGGCACCAGGTTGACTAAGGCTGGTTAAAATGACAATATAATGAATAATCATAAAAATTGAAAGTTATGCAGCGCATGCAGAAGCATTCTGAATGCCTCAGATCCACTGAAATGAATGAACCTAAGTTAAGTCACCTCTGCTAATTTGACTGGGTCTCCTCTGAATAGGACTAACATCTCAGCATCTCAGATACTTTTGCAATGAACCTGTAAGATAAGCCAATACAGTGGTACCTCGCAAGACGAATGCCTCGCAAGACAAAAAACTCGCAAGACGAAAGGGGTTTTTGTTTTTTGAGCTGCTTCGCAAGACGATTTTCCCTATGGGCTTGCTTCACAAGACGGAAACATCTTGCAAGTTTGTTTCCTTTTTCTTAACACCGTTAATACAGTTGCGACTTGACTTCGAGGAGCAACTCATGGTAGCCTTTTTTGAGGTTTTTAAAGACTTTGGTGATTTTTGAAGCTTTTCCAAAACTTTCCTGACACCGTGCTTTGCAAGACGAAAAAAATCGCAAGACGACAAAACTCGCGGAACGAATTAATTTCGTCTTGCGAGGCACCACTGTATTCATGGCAGAGCTGAGATTCAAGCCAGGGGCTTCTGGGGTCACAGCTTACGCTATGTCAAATAGCCTGACCTGTCAGTCAAATTGAAAGTCCTGTGTCAGAACATACATGGGTTTGTTGATCAGATTCACTTCCACCATCATTTGCTGTACAAATCTAGGGCACAACTTGCGCTTGGAATGCTTTGTGCGGTTCTGGTAGCCTCATCTAAAAGAGGAAGTTGCAGAGTTTTAGAAAATGAACAGAGAGAGAAGGGCAACTAACATTATGAAGCGAATGGAGCAACTCATCTATGAGGAAAATTGACAATATTTGGGGCTTTTTTTTCAGTAAGGACAAAAGATGAATAGTGAAGGGAACATGATAGAAGTGTGTGAAAAAGTGGACAAAGGGAAACTGAATGTTGAAAGAACTTCTTCACATAGCTCATAGTTATCCTATGGAACTCACTCCCACAGGAGGCAGTGATGGCTACCAACTTAGATGGCTTTAAAGGAGCATTGGGCACATTCATGGAGGAGGAGGCTATTGATGGTACTTGTTGTGATAGGTATGCTCTGCCTCCACAGTCAGAGGCAGCGATGCTTCTGCATCCCAGTTGCTGGAAAGCACAGGAGAGGTATTTGCTCCTGCCTTTGAATCCTGCTTGCAGATCAGCCGCTGTGAGGACAGGATGCTGGACGAGATGGGCCGTGGGCCTGATCCAGCAGGCTCTTCTTGTGTCCTTCTTCTTAACGCCAATGCATTTCTCCAAACAGAGACGAGGTCTGCTCTCTGCCCACAGGTGACTCGTACTCGGGGCCCCAGGCCAGCTCAGAGACTGACCTCTTGAACCGTTTCATCTTGTTGAAGCCAAATGCTCCCAAAAGCGGGAAGAACGACAGCAAAGACTCCAGCTCGGCTTCACAGTGATGCAGCCCTGGGTGGAGGGAGAGACCCGGGCAGAGGGCCAGCTCAGCCCACAAGTGTTGTTGCTCAGCACTGAAGATTTTGTGGTCCAGTGCCTGCTCCCGCCTTTCCGGAAAGGGTTTGGGGGACAGCTTTTCAGCTACGGGGGGAGAGTCCGACGTTTGCACAGAGGCTGCCCCCATGGAGGATGTTCATAGCAGAGGATCTGAGCCCCGTCAGCCTGGAAGGAACTTCAGCCAAGCAGGCAAACTCCTACCAGGCCTGGGATGGAAGGAAGAGCCTGGATGTGAGGGGGAGGACTAGCTATATATTGTTAAAACTATTTTAAATATATAATATTGCTTGTGCATATTCTATATATCAAGAGATTCCCCCACCCCCTACAGGAATGCACATTTCTTAGCCATCCTGGCGAGATTTTTAAACGGACGGCGGGGTGGGTTGCCCTTTCCCTCTCTTCCGTTGGGACCGTGGCTATGAGTCCAAAGGGGAGAACTTTCAGGTGGACGGAAAAAGTCTTCCCGAATGGTAGCCAAAGCACCAGGTTGTGCAGCAGAGGGAAAAAAGCCACATGGGTCTCCTTGCGGCAGGTGGGGCTTGTTGCTGCTGACCCAGGACTTTCTGCAGAACAGCCTGGCAAAATCTTCTCTCGCTGGACTTCGGGAGGCCAGAAAACAACCCTTCCGTGCCACAGCAGTCCTTTTGCTGGCGACAGAAGTGTTTGTCCCTGAAAAAATTAATGATTTCATAGAATTGTGGAGTTTGAAGGGACCACCCCCGAGGGTCATCTAGTCCAACCCCCTATGATCTTTGGGAAGATTTGCAGATCTAAGAAAACAGAGCTTAGTTTCCACTTCTTTGAAAGGCTGACCAACACAGTTGACCTTTGTGGCAACATCTCATGAGAAGGAGCTGCCACTTTCCTTTCCAGGTTGTGACTTCTGCACAAGCGTCCTTCCGAGGGATGCACAGGTGTGCTCTCTCTCTCTCTCTATCTCAGTGTGGGCTGCTTGCTTGGAGCAGGCAAGGCCCGGAAGGTCTGCACTGGGCAGGCAGTGATGGTGTTTCACTCAGTCTGTGCACACGTCAGCTGTTCCTTGTGGATATTTATTGACAGCTCATTGCCTGCAAAGGGTGGGCTCACCATCCTTTTCCAACGTGGGTGCTAGATTATAGAACTATACGCACAAGCCTCCCCCAGACAAGGGCAGTTCCCAATGGATGTTTGTGGGTGGCGGGGCTGAAATAATTTGGGGCTGCCTTGTTTACCATTGGCTTGTCTTTGCTACATTCCACTAGGAAAGCTTCTCTCGCCCTTAGTTCCACCCCCAGTGATCTGCCCCAGTCTTCACCAACCCGGTGCCCTCCGGATGATTTGGACTACAACTTCCATCAGGCTGTGCTAACTGGGCCTGATGGAAGTTGTAGTGAAGGCTGGACTGCCCACAAAGCAAAGTTAAGCTTTCTGGTAGGTTTTACATCCTAAAGGGCCCCACCTTCCACACAACCTGTCCCCCACCAAGTGTTCTCTACAAAATGGAAATCAGTTCAAATCTTCACTTGACTGGCTGCAGACAATCAAATGGTCGTCAAGGCCTTTGCTTTCCCAAGGCTCCCCTCACCCACCCACTGGGGGAAGCAGCTCCTTTCTCTGTCCTGGAAACAGCAGCAGTAGCACTGAAGGTGGGCAGCCATGGGGTTGCCAACTTTTCGACTAGCCCTTGCTGTTCTGCCCTGGATAGCAATTTGATCTGCAGGCCTTAGCTCGTGATGGTGCTTCCGTCAAAGCTTTAAAGTGCTTCACTTGCTGACATCTCTAGAGCAGGCTGCTGACAGGAGCATACCAGGTCAGTTGGCAACCCAGTTTCCCGTCCTCCAATCCTGCCATTCAAAAGGCCCAATGCCAACCTCTGGAACAGAGTTTATTCTTTACCTCCCCACCTCTTTTTTCCCTAGTATTTCCCAACTATCCCAATATCCCTCAAAAAAACCACCTACCCACCCTGGCCCAGTTAGAAATTTTAAGCAGAATTAGTGAAACACTTTCACAGAGTGGCTGGTTTTATTCCTATGCTGAAATTTTTTAAAGAAGCAATTGATTTTCTAGTTTTACTATTTATTGAATAACTTTGAGAAGGGCTATCTTCTTTTTATTGTAGTACAAACCTTGGTATTGTGTTGTTTTGTGTTGTTGTTGGGTTCCCTTCCCCCCACCCGCCACCCTGTTTAAATAGCACTGGAGTTAACATCTTACAATCTTGTGCTCTGCGTGTGTAAGTAACTGTATTTTTGGATCTTGTCTGTACCTGAAAGCGGGAAAGATCTCCCAGGACACCTGTGAATTGGACCAGCAAATGTCCAAGCAGCCTTGCTTCAACAGCACTCCCAATTCAAAGTAGGCCAAAGTACCAGTAGGGCGGGGAAGTTGGATGAGAGACCCACAAAACTTGGGATCACTGGAGATATTCACCCGCAGTATCGATATGTCCTGGAAGCCTTCTAACCGAGAGCTCAGTTTTGTTGGTAAAAGCTATTCCCAGTGATGGGCCCATTACATAGGAAACTGCCCTTTACTGAGTCCATCTAGCTCAGTATTGTCAACACTGGCTGGCAGCAGCACTCTAAGCTTTCAGGTGGGAGACATTCCAAGCCTATCAGGTACTTCTGGACTAAAACTCCTTGGCCAAGCTGGCTGAGGCTGATGGGAGACAGAATAACAGCAGGAGGCTCCCAGGCTGTAGCTTTTTTCTAAGCATAGTTCTCCTTGAGATTTGCTAGCTTCCTAACCTCAGCACAGTTTGGGGTCCTTTCTTTGATGAGAATGCATTTTCATTTGATTCCAGTGGTTTGGGTCCTCCTCTCTTGAGCAGCAGAAAACAAGCTTGTTCTGTCTTCCATGGGACAGCCATTTAGATATTCTGAACCCCAACCCAGAGCCTCTCACTCACCTCCCTGCTTTTATCTGTCTCCTGTTCTTTTACGTCTGCTCACTTCTTCCAAACCTGCTTCCAAAACAGCACCTCTCGCTTCATGCTGAGAAAGTGCTTTGCAAAAAAAACATTGCCAGCATAGAGAATGTGTGCCATGTGTGCAGAGGAACTACTGAGTTCACATGTGGGGAACCTTTTTCCTCTTTTTTTACCGCAAGGGCCACATTCCGTTCTGGGCAACCATCCTGAGGGCCACATGCCAGCATTGGGCAGGACCAGAGGCAAAATAGAGCAATGAATGAAAATGTTTACCTTAATACAGAACACTAGTTTCTACACAGTCTGTCTTCCATTCTGGTAAATAAACGACACCATCAATGTTCAAGGGGACATTCCAGCTAGGCAAAAACACTCAGGGTGAGATGCAGAGTCAGTGAGGGAAGTGGGCTGGGGAGAATCCAGAAGGCCTGGTATTGAAATGTGATGATCATGGACCTATACAGAACCCAGATCCTAATTATTAGCAAAATACGCACATCACATGTCTTGCAAGTTGAGGAGATGCATGGATGCATGTTTATGAATGGGGGAGAGAGAAAATGTCTGCCCCCAACCAGCCCACTTTTGCCTCTTGTCCTGCCCACTACCAGTGTGTGTGTCTCCCAATTATTCCCCACAGAAATGAGCCCTTAACCCCAAAAGTGTTCCCCACCCATGGCTTAAACTAGCCTTTCCCAAACCCGGAACTCTCCAGACTTTTTGGACTACAGCCCCCATCAGCTCCAGCTTTATATGACCACACTGGCTGATGGGAATTGCAGTCTAGAGCATACAGGGGGCAGCAGCTTGGCAAAGGCAGGCCTGTTTCATTGCTAAGATGTTTGTATCATAGAGGCACCTTGCAGATACTTAGGAAACAGCCCTGTCCTCCTGCCACAGGCCACATTGGCCCTCTACTGGGCAACTCCTCTCCCATAGAATTTGGGCATGTACCGGTAAATCTGAAGATCCAACTCTGCTGGCCCTTTTCCTCTTGGAAAAGCCTTGGGAGGGGCAGCCAAAACAGCCTGGCCTTTCCAGCATGAGGAGTCTGGAGTAGCAGGGAGCCAAGGGGGAAGAGTGGCAGAGCCAGGCAGCTCTGTTAATGGACTGTCAGTAGGGGTGCAGGGTGCAGTTACCCCATAAATTAGTTAGTATCCTATGGAGGGGGATGTGGCGTGAAGGCTGAGACATGCAAATGCTTGGACAGGCTGTGAATGGAGAAGAGGTTGGCTCAGGATTATTTGATGCACAGATTGTGGGGGGGGGGTGCGGACGTGGGGGTTGCCAAACATGTTTTGGTTGTTTTGTTTTTTAAAATGGAACTGCTTGGTCAATAAACAAACATTACTCCCTATTCCAGTCTCAGATTATTATTATCATCATCATACAATTATATCATATTTACTCAGATGTAATGCACACCTTTTTTGGCCAGATTACGTCGTGAAAATTAGGGTGCATTAGATTCGATGGCGCATTGTATTATACAATAGACAATAACAGTTTAGAGAGAATGATACAATAGGGTGTGAATGAGAGGGTGTTGACCCTTTGAAACCATACAGTTGCTTCAGTTTCTCAAGGACAAAGGGATGCCAAGACACTAGCACCTCAGCCCCTCTTAAATGTCTGGCTAAGATGATTGACTTGTGTCTCTGTTATGAGTTGGCTATGAAATCACTGTGATGATTTTGCTTGATGAGCTCCATAAGCAACAAAAGGCTTTCATTGTTAATTATCTAGAATTTCCAGCCTTAAAAATGTGACACCCATTGGAGCTGGGAAGGGACACAGAACCAGAAGCAGTTTTGGTTTGCATCAGAATGCAGGGAGATAGAAGTTTTTTTAATCAGGCTTGAAGAAGCCTGTGAGCTCTCTAGGACTCTTGGGATTTTATTTTATTGATTAGATGTATATCCCATCCTTCCTCCAAGGAGCTCAAAGTGGCATTGTTCCCCCACATCCCTATAAAATCCCCCACAACAACCCTGTGAGGTAGGCTAGGCCAAGAAACAGTGACTGGCCAAAGGCCACCCAATGAGCTTCATGACAGAGTAGAAAAAGAAAAGAACTGACTCAAGTAATATTAAGCCTTGAGTCCAACACAACTAGATTAAGATAACCGGCAGCTGAATTGCCTCCCTTGATGTTCAAAGTGACTTGAGGCAACATTCTGTGACAGCTCATTCACTCACGCAGGGCATGAAAATGTGTATGCATGTTTCAGTTCTTCCCAAAATAGCAAAACTTGCATTTGTTGTACCATTACTGTGGATCTTCTGAAATCTCAGATGATACTATTTATGCCAAAAGACTAAATGAATCTCTGAATGAAGAAGCTGCAAACTCTCACACAGAAGGCAGTTTGAATTTTTATTATTATTAATTTACAGACATGTCAGTGTCCAGGAACAGAGAAAATTATACATTTGCAATAGAACTCTGATGGCTATTCGATAGCTGGGCTTTCAAGCTACAGTTGCCATCAGCTTTCATGCAAATAGTCCTGGAAGAAAACTGAAAGCAGTGACAAAACATCAACAGAAGCCTACAGTGATGATGTGATCCTTCCTGAGCAGAAATGTATTGAGAGTTGGAGCAGAACCACACAATTTGGCACAGTGCTGGCCATGTCTCCCAATGATGCAGCAACCTCTGAGTCAGACACATAGATAGCAAATGCGGGGGAGAATGAAAGCAAGACACTTTTGGTTACCAACTTTCATTCACATCATCTTCTAAAAATGGACCCTAATTTGTTAGTTTTTACTAACTGGGTCAAGTATCAGGAGCGGCATCATCACCAGAAAACCAGGTTGTGACATTTACACAGCCCAGGAAAAAAGGTTCTCACGCTAGGCTGACAACCTTTAATGTGTGTTTTAATAGTACTAGAAAAATTGTGGAAACAGTTTAAACTTCTTGCGATGGGATTCCTCCTCTTTTTGGGTCTTGGAACTCCCTCTCCCAACTCTTCCATCTTATCGACGTTGGTTCAGTCCTGTGAGATTCCTTATCTGTTTGGTTCACAAATAATAGGTCATTAAATATAAGGCCAATGAGAAAATTACTAGCTGCAAAGAGGCAGCATAGGAATACGTCACTGCTCCTTATGACTGGGAAAGGTAACTCTAGCGTGCTGTGGTTTCCAAATGGTGTTACAGGGAAGGAGTCCCTCAATGAGAATAAGATCAATAAGGTGAGCAAACTTTTCTGGAAAAAAGCTTGCCCCCACCCCTTAACAAAATTTCTCTGAAACATGCACCATGTGTTTCAGGGCATGTTCCCATTCACTTAGGATGGAAAGTGAGGCCCAAATAGGCCTGGTCAGTACTCTGGAGGACATGAACATGTTGCCCCAAAACATACACCAGAACCCTGCATAACACACACAGATAGCTTGGCAGGAAAGTGGACTGGGAAGATAAAAATTTGAAGGCAACAGCTTTCAAGGAAGGGCATTGGGCAGCAACAGATTATAGAGAGAATTCCTACACTTCTTGTGGTTGCTCACTAACTAAGCAATTTAACATTTTAAACTGGATTCATTTAACAAAATGTATATGCTGCAGGATTTGTAATAAACCTCTTAAGCATATAAAACAAAACACTGAAATTATCCGTAAAAACAGTTATTTAAAATAGAATTAAAATCAACTATAGCAAAAAATAAAAAATACATGTTGATATTCTACATGGGTGAACAGGCTTACCTAAACAAACATGTTTTACGCAGGCACTGAAGGGTATAGGGGAGGTGCCTGCCTAATACAAATAGGCAGGGAATTCCAAAGTTTAGGTGCTGCCACACTAAAAAATCAATTTATTGCAAATGCAGCTCAAGTATTATGTGGCCTCTGTAACAGCTCCAGTTCTGCAGATTGAAACAGCTGAGTAGGCATATATGAATAAGGCGATCCTGCAAGTAATTTGATCCCAAGCTGGCTTTATATACCTCTGCTGTTTGAAGGATTCTTGAGTAATGAAAAACATTGTGTGCAAACGCATCCATACAGATTAACCTGGGAAATTCTGCAAGTAAGACTACCTTGCAGATCCTCTCTTTTTAAAAAAAATATATCATACAAGCAACCATTTCCCTTTGCATTCCTCCACATCCATTATTGCATGCATAATTTCCCAGGGGGGAAGCTGTTTGGTATGCAACAACCTGAGGAAATCCTGTTTCTGGCATTACTTACAGTGACAGCAGCACCCATCAGTCCCTGGACAAGGGCTTCTCCTGTTGCCTGCACCTAGGAAACAAAACACAGGCATTGAAATCTTCTGCTTTGTGCTGGTTTTGTGGACCAGCCCAATATGGAAAGGCGCTAGCTCAGTAGCAGAGCATCTGCTTTGCATGTAGAGTGAGCCATGCTCAGTTTCTGACAGGGCTGAGAAAGAGTCCTGTCTGACTCAGCATAAGGCTGCTTCCTAAGAGTTATTCTACAGTGATAGAGCTGACAGCAAGTACATGCTATTTGGCCGGCAGTATCTGTAGAAACCTGAAACGGCACTACAGTGACATGCAATCTTAGGATCTCAGCGGAATCCAAAGACCTGCACGTATACAGCAAACACCAGGCACAACTGGAACAAACGCAATTGATTAACATCACAGCAGCAGCTCCAACACTAACAGAAGACTTGCTTAGAAATCTCCAGGAAGATTTTCTAAGCAAATTAGTCCGATTTAATTCAGAGACCAATAAAGTGTATCGCATTGAGTGCCACTTCTTCTCCTTAATGTGAATAATTAACTTACATTCTCCACCAGGGCCTGTATGAGAGCGAAGCATTGCAAAGTTATGAGAAGCTGCACAGATGGATTGACTGCAACTATGTGGGTGATAATATAATGGTTCTTTGCAATGCTATCACCACAGCACGTAGGCAGGGCCTAGTATGTGCCACCAGAGCCCTTTTCATATGTTGCACAGATGGGGGTAGTGCTAGACTTTGCCTGGTAATCTGTGTACCTGTCTGAAAAAAGGTTCTGACTTTGTCAGCAAAATGCTGCATGTTTTTAATGCAGGGGTGTAGAATCTTTGGCCATTTCCCCCCAAACTACACCCACATGCCCCCTCACATCTGATATCCTATGCAATGTCAGGTGCAGGTGGGTAGAGACCTGGCTGCCAATGCACATTAAGGAGTCTTAAAATGCACTCCTAATTGGAAGGCAAAGCAGGTTTCAGCTCAGCCAAAGGGGGACCTACGACCTGGCGGCTGCTTAATTACATGTGTCCCTCCAAACACTGCAGGTCTACTCTTGTTCTCTTTGCCACCCCTCTGGGTATCACTTCCCCATATATGTCAGGTGTATGTGTGTGGGAGAGAAACAGAGAGAAAGAGACAGTGTGTGCCCGGGGAAAATACCATAAATGGGACAGAGCCAAAATAGAAAGAGCAATGAAAAGGGTGAGGGAGAAAAAGACTGTGACAAACAATTAGTTCCAACCTGTGTTAATGGAGAGGGTGGGAAACAGAAGAAAGCTGAAACAGAGAGAGATGGAGGAGAGAGGGGGAGACCTATTAAATCCTGTGATGCTGCAAATTCCACCCACTTTGGCTCTGGCCCCTAACAAACTAGCCCTGAGGAAATGCACCCTCAGCAAACAGGATAATGGTTCCCTAACACTGGACTAAGGGATGGGGAACTGGTGGACTGGGCTTGGTCTGCCAGAGCTTCTTCATCTGTGCATCCCAGACTCCAGGGTCTCTCTTCTCACTTTAAGTCTCTCACATTCCCCTTGCTGCAATGTAGTCACAGCCACAAGGTGAACCAGATAGACAGGACAAGAGCCCGGCAGGCAGGCAGGCAGGCAGGCAGGCAGGCAGGCAGGCAGGCAGGCAGGCAGGCAGGCACACCAACAAAATGAGACACCTGAGAATAATGACTAGACTGGAACATCTTTCCAAAAGGCACTCTAGCTACAGCACTCTGTTGCCA